ATATGGCACCAACTGTACAGTGAGTGCCACATCCACCCCCGGTTGATCAGACCTGTTCATATAGCTTTACTCAGTTAAAATACATTTGCCCAGAAGGAAATTCCGTAGGCAGATCCTACATTTATTTATGGGTCGCACTTATAGCCAACACCGAATCTGTGTTCCTTTCCTCCTTTCATATATAGAGAGAGATGGCAAAGAGGCGTCGTCACTGGGGTGATTCGAAATTTTGAAGCGTGTGCATATATAGCGATTTGGACTGAAGTATTGATCAATGGATATCTAAGAGGGAAAAAAATAAGTGTCTTTTCTGGTTTGATGGGTTTCCATTCTGTGAATACTCTGAAACTTTCTTTCAAATTTTGTGCCAGAAAAAAGATTGAATCCAATTTTCCATTTTTATTTCCCCATTCATTTACTATTAAATTTCCATTCCATTTTTTCTCCCATTTGTCTAAATTAGTAAAAGATTCTTACTTCACTTCTTTCATCTTTTCCTTTATAGGTACAGTTCATGGTGAATTGTACACATTTTACATGTTTATTTTTGAAGTTTTTGAATAATTTAACATTTTTTTTCTCTTTTGGAATATTCGTAAAGATTCTTTCCTTTTCCAGAAGAAGTTTTTGTGGGCACTACTTATATATAGTTTTGAAAATTAATGATTTTTGGGCTTTTTGGATGGCTTATAATTGATTTGAAGAAGTGGGTTTTGCTTAATTTAAAAGGTAAATGATGAATCTTTCTTAATAAAATTCTTATTTTTGTTTTGCGCAAGTTTTCAAAGATCTGGTTACTTGTGCATGCTGATGTTAGATTATTCAATTGGGACAAGGATTGTTAATTTCAGAATTTTCTTATATCTTTAAGACATTTAGATCTTAAATTGTACAAATTTCAAGTTCTTTAATTCTTCCATTGGATCCTTTTCTTAGTTTAAATGTTTTTAGATGGATGTTAAGAGTAACAAGTGTGAAAAATTATCACATTGCAAGTATTTGCAGTAATTCAGATATTTTTTGCACTTTTAGTTTTTATATATTTGACAATAAATCATTTGAATCTAATGCTCCATGAATCGAATAGCACATCAGATAAACCCCAAATTTGTTCCTTTTTATTTTTTCTTGCAGAAGTTTCATATGATTCTTTGCTTGGATTGACATTTCAATTCTGCAATCTTTGATGCATTTGAATTAGCATGTTTATAATATGTCTGGCTAAGCTTATAAGTAACTTAAAAGGTCGTTTTTCACAGAGTATGCCTCTACATTAGAATGTTTATAGAATGACTTTACCTGCTTTCTGAAAAAGTAACTTTTAAGTAACTTATAAGCTTTGCCAACCATGCTAAGATTGCTTATGATTTCAGTTGTTATGTTACTCAATTGATGCTCTTAAATCTCCTTTCATTTCAGATGTACTTTTCTTTTCCCGAGTGCATGCAATTTCGGCTTTCATAGTATTGAGCAATTGTAAATATGGATCCAAAGGAAGACAGTTCCACATTCGGATCGGTATGAAACATGACATCAAGGAATCTGTCATCATCATCTTCAACATTCTTTTCGGCCAATCAATCGCTCTCCCCGAAATTGTGGATGTGTAAACATATCGATTCCTTAGATACGAGTTTAGTGACAACAGCAGGACCAGAATCTTTAGCAAGCACTAAATTTGCTTCATTAGATGTATATCCTTTTTCAGTAGCGTGCACCTCAAATGATGACCTTAAAGTTCGATCGTGTTTCTTCTTCAACAGGTATATCAAATAGTACCTTATCGAGTTATGGAATTAGCCTTGAAAATGATTGCTCTGGACATAGTAAGTCAAAAACGATCGCGAAATTGCTTGAAACTTCAGCTGTCCCGACTTCCTTTTCTTCTAATAGACTGAGGAGTTGTGACGTGTACATAGGTTATCATGGACAGAAACCTTCATTGCTTAGGTTTATTAATTGGCTCCGAGCAGAGTTAGAAATTCAAGGATTGAGCTGTTTTGTAACAGACAGAGCTAGATGTCGGAATTCTCATAAACATATTATTGCTAATATGGCTATGGATGGTTGTACTTTTGGGGGTGTTATCTTGACAAGAAAGTCATTCAGAAATGCTTTCACTATTGAAGAGATCCAATTCTTCTCGAGCAAGAAAAAATTTGTTCCGATATACTTTGATTTGGGTCCAGATGATTGCCTTGTTAGAGATATAATCGAGAAAAGAGGGGAGTTATGGGAAAAACACGGTGGTGAACTCTGGCTACTTTATGGAGGGCTTGATACGGAATGGAAAGATGCTTTGAGTGCCCTTTCTGGTGTTGACGAATGGAAGCTAGTGGCTAATGACGGTAAATGGAGGGATTGCATATTAAGAGCCGTCACTCTTTTAGCATCGAGATTGGGAAGGAGAAATATTGTAGATAGACTAACGAAGTGGAGAGAGAAGGCAGAGAAAGAGGAGTTTCCATTCCCACGAAATGAGAATTTTATCGGTAGAAATAAGGAGTTATCTGAGCTGGAGTTCATGCTTTTTGGTGATGTAAGTGGAGATGCAGAGCAAGACTACTTTGAACTCAAGGCCAAACCCCGACAAAAGAGCTTAACTATTGGTTCGGGCAGGAGTAATTCAGTGGACGATACACAAAGGGATCAAGAAAGAGAGAGGAGCAAGAGAAAGGGGAAACAACCAGTTGAGTGGAGAGAATCAGAAAAGGAAATTGAAATACAAAGCACTGAATTTTTTAAACCACGAAAGCGCACACCGAATGTGAAAAATATCGGAAAGCATAGGAGGAGGAGATTGATGAAAGTTGTCTGTGGAAAAGGAATTGCTTGCGTTTCAGGAGAGTCGGGCATTGGGAAGACAGAGCTGATTCTCGAGTTTGCATACAGATTCTATCAGAGGTATAAAATGGTCCTGTGGATAGGAGGCGAAAACAGATACTTCAGGCAGAATTATTTAAATTTATGGCCCTTCTTAGAAGTCGATGTAGGAGTGGAAAATTACAGAGAGAAAAGTCAGACAAACAGCTTCGAGGATCAAGAGGAGGCAGCTTTAGCTAGAGTCCGAAAAGAGCTCATGCGAAACATTCCATTTCTGGTGGTAATTGATAATTTGGAGAGTGAAAAGGACTGGTGGGATGGCAAACTTGTAATGGATCTACTCCCCCGTTTTGGCGGGGAAACGCATGTCATAATCTCCACGCGTGTCTCTCGAGTAATGAATCTAGAGCCATTGAGACTCTCTTACCTATCTGGGGTTGAGGCGATGTCTTTAATGCAGGGAAGTGCCAAGGATCTCTCGATTGCAGAAATTGATGTTTTACGGGTTATTGAGGAAAAACTCGGGAGGTTAACTCTAGGTCTTGCTATTGTTGGAGCAATTTTGTCCGAACTTCCTATAACTCCAAGTAGGCTTTTGGATACCATAAACCGGATGCCTTCAAGGGATATGACATGGAGTGGTCGGGAAAATAAATTGTTGAGGCGGAAAACTTCCCTTTTGCAGCTTTTTGAGGTATGTGTTTCGATATTTGATCATGCAGATAATGGATCAAGGAGTTTGGCGACTCGAATGGTTTTGGCAAGTGGTTGGTTCGCGCCAGCACAAATTCCGGTACCCATTCTAGCTCTAGCTGCTCGTAAAATACCAGAAAAGCAGCCACACCAACGTTTATGGAAAAAGATTTTGTGTTCGTTAACCTGCATCTTCACATCATCATATGCTCGGAGATCACAAGCCGAAGCATCTTACTTATTGTTACGATTCAATATCGCAAGAAGTTGTACTAAGGAAGGTTACATTCAGTTCAACGAGCTCATCAGGCTTTATGCTCGAAAGAGAGGAATCGCCGGAGTTGCACAAGCCATGGTAGAAGCTATCATTAGCCGAGGGTCGATAAACCACCACTCCGACCACATATGGGCCGCATGTTTCCTTCTCCTCGGATTTGGCAGAGACTCTAAAGCCGTCAAGGTTAAGGTGTCTCAATTACTATTTCTTGTGAAAGCAGTAATTTTGCCCCTCGCCATGCGGACATTCAACAACTTCTCGCGTTGTTCTACTGCATTAGAACTTCTCCGGCTCTGTACAGATGAACTTGAAACTGCAGATCAGGCGTTTCTCACCCCGGTCGAGAACTGGTTCGACAGATCCCTTTGCTGGAAACAGATTCAAACTCAAGCTCAGTTGACCCCTTGTCTTTGGCAGGATCTTGCATTAGCTAGGGCTACTGTTCTTGAAACTAGGGCTAAACTTATGATTGGAGGAGGGAAATTTGATATAGGAGATGATTTAATTAGGAAGGCAATTTTTATAAGAACTTCAATATGTGGTGACAATCACCCAGAAACCATTTCTGCTCAAGAAACTCTTAACAAAATCACAAAGCTTCTTGCTGGTGATGTTCAAACTCAGTTTTGATTTTGATTTTGATTTTGATTTTTATTGTTAGATTAAATTTGACTAAGAAACTTATTTTTTTTTTTTTTTTGTTAAGATACCCCTTTATACTAATAGAATTATTCTTATAGGTATATTCCTTTTTGAACCATTGGTATAATTGGCTTCAACTTAATCTCTAAGTCTCTATAACAAGTTCGACAATCGACACTGGACTGTATTATAAATAAGATTTCGATAAATTTCACTCTTGAGTCTTCAACCTTTTCGATTTGTGGCAATTTCGTGCCCTTTCTTTTTTATCATATCGAGCCACACCATCCTTTCATTTATTCTCTTATATCGTCCATATTGATGAAATCCATCCATTTTTTGTAGTTAATGCCACGTAAAAGGACAATTCTACCCTTCAACTTTAAACAAATAAAAAATAAAATTTGTAGCAGAGGTTCCAAACCTTTCAAAAATGTACAATTCGGTCCCAGACCTTTTAATCTTAACACCTACATCCTAAACCTTTTAATAAATATGCATTGAATAGAAATTTTAGCATTTGGCCCTTTTAAAGAAGGGAAAAATGGTCTCTTCACATTTAATTACTAAAAACAATTAAATATAAAAAAAAAATGAGGAAAATGTCTTCTTCCCCAAACTTGTCCCCCGGTGGTGGTGTTGAAGGTAGCGTGGTGAGTGGTGGTTCAATGAGGGGTGCGAGACAAATTTGGGGAAGAAATATTTTCCTCGATTTTAATTCCTTTCTTATTTTTCTTGTCTTCGTTTATTTTGTTTAACAATTTTAGTTGTTTTTATCAATTAAAAATGAAGAGACCGTTTTGCCCGTCTTAAAAATGGTCAAATGCTGAAATTTTTAGTCAATTGATAGATTTTTTGATGGGAATTATTCAGAGATTCTTTCAACGCGTATTTATTAAAATGTTTGGGGTGTAGTTGCTAGGATTAAAAGGTTTAGAACTTGGCTGCACATTTTTTAAAGATTTGAAACCTCTACTGTAATTTATTTATTTATTTAAATTTGAGGGTAGCATTTAATGGCACAAACAAATGAAAATAATCAATAGGGATTATATAAGAGAATAAATAAAAGGTTGGAGAATGGAGGACAGAATAAAAAGAAAGTGATGAAATTGCCACAAATGGGAAAGGTTGGGGTCCCAGAATGAAATTTATGCATAAAATTTTAACAGATTATTTATGCTTCCCTTTTTAATCTTATCAAACCAACCTTAAAGCTCGCCTTTATGTAACTTTGCTATTCTTCATATTTATTTAATAGGGAAATTTTCATAAATGTCACTAAATTTGAAAATCCAAAAAAATTTGTCACTTTCACTTTTTGTGAGCAAAAATGGTACTTTTTTGGTGCAAAATGTCCAAAATATCCTTAATACAACA